ATTGGAGGTGGTATCAGTTAAAAACAAAACATTTTGTTTCATGTTGGGTGATGTTGAATCTGGCTCTGGATCTGTGAAGAGGAATGGATCTGTGAACGCCTTTGTGTCTCGCTCTCTTCTCCCACATCGAGACGTGCTGTTGTATCTTCTCACCTGAGTGTTTTTGTTAATCGTTGCTTTCCCACTCTCATTTTCATCCTGTATCCTGGATACTCCGTGGCCTTCACTTCTGTGTTATGTTCTGGGTCGTTTTTCCTCTCTCTGTAGCGTGTCCCCATTACCTGTCCTGCAGATTTAGTAGGAGGGCTGCTGGGTTCCAGTAAACGTAGCAGAGGAGCTGGTGGGCAGGGGCTCAGGCTCCTCTTTGGCAGCAGCTGGGAAGAGGAAGATCATGACCCAAAGTTCTGGAGTATTTTCAGTTCTTATTTATCAAAGGGAAATGGGCAGCTGGGTTTGGTGGTTGGTTTTGGTTTAATTTGGTTTGTTTTCCCTGTTTTGAACTCTGTTTTTGTAGCTGTCGAAATGCTGCTGATTTTTCCTGTTCCTAATGGATATTTAATTTCTCTTATTGCACCTAAAACCTTCAAATAGAAAAGCAAAGTGAAGAGCATAGTGGTTTTGCGTGGGCATGTCTGAAGAGCACGTGGGTGTACTGGTGTGTGTGGTCAGTCCGTGGGAAGGAGGACTGGTGTTTGGAGCCTGCAGCTGTGTGAGCACTCTGCTTGCATTCCTTACTGGTGAGCTGTGGGAGTGACTGGGACAGCCTTTTCCTGTACCATCTGTAACAACACCAACCCCCCTAGAAAATAGTCTGAAGTGTGTGTATGTGTGGGAAGCTCTTTTTTATCTGGTTATTATGTTACACTTTCATAATGACCAAGTACTGGAAGAAAAGTTGCAGGAGGAGTAAATAAAAATAGTGTAAATATATATATATATTTTTTTTAAGCTTCTATTTACAGTGCCCTGGTTCTCTTGGCTTTATTTCTTTGGATTTTGCTCCCTGTATGAATCCTTTCACTTTATGTTAGGAAGGATTGATGGCTGCTTTCATTTTGTGGCCTGCTATGAGGTGATTTTGGTCTGTGTTTAATGATGAATCATAAAAGAGAACGCTCTTGTTATCTTTTGCTTTATCAAACTCTGTCACCTGTTAGAATCTTTATGTATTTTGACCATGTTTGAGTCTCAAGTTAAGCAGTTGGAGGTGAGGCATCATGTAGTCTGCATTATGGTCCTCTTCCAACATCTTCAGTCCTGTCTTTGATGTTACAGGACTTTATTCCAGTAGACAACAATTTAAAAATACAAAGGAAATAATTTTCATTGCAGATTTCTGGAAGGCATTTATGCAGGTACTAATATTTCAGCAATTTGCCATCTTCCAGGTAAAAAGGGAAACCTGGAAGCTTATTTCCAGAAAACAGTAGTGTTTTTATTTCTTTTTATTTTCTGAAAAAGAGACTCAAATCGTTGAGGATGCATTTTCTGTCAGGAAAAGCAACAAACACAAACAGCTGCTTGTATTTACACAGGACACCTTTGTATTCTTTTTAATTCTATAAGAAGGTGGCCATAAATCTGTTATTGATCAGAGCTACAGAGGTTGCTTCAAAACAAACTCTTGACTGCAGTTAATAAAGGTCATTTATTTCTTAAGTCAGGAGATGTGTGAAAAGGAACATTTCCCCTTGCCCCCCCCCTTTTTTTTGGTCTTTTTTCCTTTTTTCTGGCATGAATGGTTTAACTGGAGCTTTCAAGCATTTTTTGGGCTTTGCCAAAGATGCCTTTTTCCACCACCTATGATTTTAATGAAAAGCATGGCACATTTTAACTTTATGTTGAAGTTTCATGTGGCAACTAATGTTTATCTTGCTGCACTCAGTTTCTGCGTGTTTCTTTCTTAAATCATGGGTGTTTTCAGGTGGAGATGAGTCTGTCACCGTAACTGTAGGGGGTCACAGGAGCTCTCCATCCCTCTTCAAGAACAGACATTAATTTTTCCAGGTCCTCCATTCCCTTTGAGCCCAAGGTGCTATGGATTACTGGTCCACATGAGGTGTAACATCAGTTTTTAGGAACAAGGTGTTTTCAAGGCCCTAGACCTGTTGTGTGGTGATACTTGGAATACATCAGAAAAAAATTCTATAAATAGAGAAAACTGCAAAGTAAAAACAACATCAGTGGTAACGTGCTTTAAAATAGCATGAATTGGGGAGTAAGCATCAATTTTAGGGTATATAAACTGTTATATATGATGTGCATATAGAAAACTTGGGTTTTTTCTGCACATTTCAGCCTTCCAGACCAGGCTGGGGTAGTCTGTCTTGAAGGACCCCTGATCTGTCATCTGCTAGCCTGGGAGCTGAGTGAAATGTGGATTTCCTGGGGGTTGAGGGGACCCTGAAGCCCTTTCTCCTCCTGTTAGCTCTGTGTTCTGTCATTCAATTTCTGTGGCATGTGTTTTGCAGAAACCCCACCTCTCTCCCTGTCTCTCTCCATCTCTCTGGTTTTCCTTGCTGGGTTTATATTCCACCCTGTCTTCCAGCCTGTGACTTCACATCATTGAAACATTGCTGCATACCTAGACCAGACAGAGAATTTCCTGTTTAAATTGACATTTTGGCTAGCCCTGCTTTTCTGTGTGCCATCAATAAAATATAGAATATTTGTCTGTTTCCCTTATTAAGTATCTTCTTCCCGATGCTTTCTCACTTCCAGAGAGATCTTTGTCAAAGGAAAGTGCACAACTGTGGTAAGCAGAATATATGCTTTCTGGTCAATTAACTTTTCCCCTTTGTAGGATTAACTGCTCTAAATTCCACTTACTATCATACGAAAGGAAACGGGAAGTCCATATGTAACACAATTTAGGATGAAAAACTAGAGTTCTTATGGATGCTATTTATAAAACACTTCAACAGGGAAATAATTATTTTTTTTAATTCATATCAGGTGTTGCAAATACAGATTGTCACGGGTATTAACAGTACAGGGAAGTCTGGCAGGAGGAGAAAATGGTGTAGGTCTGACTCCAAGACAAAACCTCAAATTCAGAGTTAATTTGAATTGGGTATTTTATGAAGGAGCAGGGACTTTACTGTAATTGGGTTGAACTGTGTTAAGCCTTCAGATAGAGATTGTCTCATAGCCCATCTCAGTAGTGGCTCATAATCCATCGATCAGTAATGAAGCCTTTTTTGCTTACAAAATATTTTCAGAACAGTTTACTAGGGTGATTAAACTACAGTTTTGTCCTATTTATAACAGAATATGAAGGCTGGTTTATTTTTTAATGCCTTGTAACTTGGCCTTGTCGTGGGATCGAAGTTATGTCTTACAGTTGTTTTAAAATCTTGACAGTGAAGTTGTAGTCTGTGAATATTCTGTGCTCTTATAATGCAAACTATTTGCTAGCAATAATTAATTTATGTCTTTTCCTTTCCCAGCATCTTTGAGGATGAAAGCATGAAACTACGACAGCTGAAACTAGAGAATCAGGTAAATAATAGTGCTGAAGCTGGTAAAAATGAGTATAGGAAAACAAACATTAGCCATTTCAAGATTTGAGAAATTAGAGTGAAGTGCTAAAAATGCTTGGTCTAAAGAATACAAACAAGAACTAATTGCCAACATTTTTCTTTAAAGATTTTCATGGCTTTCAGTAGTTTAAGTCAACCTTGCTATGGCTTGTAGGCTTGATTTCTTTGGTACATTGATTTTTCATACATTTTCTTATTGCATTGGGATTGAGTCACCACAATGCAGGAATGAATCAGAAGAGAGGAAGACTGTAGGGAATTTACATTTTAAGCATCAAAGGAAAAGTTTCCCTAAGCTGTAGAAATATCTCCTTAACACTGCTGTTGAGAAAGATTTCCAGCATCCTTTGATTTTTTTTTGTTTCCTACAAAGAAAACATTTCCAGCCAAGTGTTTGTCAAATATTAGGTTTTAGGTCTCAGTTTTTAAAGCGCTGTTTGCTGGACGCTTACATTACCATATTCTTCAAAGCAATAAAGCATCCATCCTTAATATTTTTCCTCTGTGAAATTTTAGATGCTTATAAATAGCTTAGAAAATGTAAGATTATTATGATTCTCTAGCTGGTCATTTCTGCAAATCACTGTCTTGTGTTCAATTAATCTATGTTCAAATTAAAGTATGTTTTTTAGAAAAGCTCTCTCTCAGCTGAGGGTCTTTAAATCCAGACATAACTCTTCAGGGAAATGTTGCAGTGGATAATAACCCTCTTTACCACAATTTGTTCATTATTTCTAGGCTGAGTTTGCTTAGCTTTGACTTCAGACAGTGGATTTATTACCAACTTTATCTGTGTGTATATAGGCACTTACCTAAACACTTTAGATTCAATGAGTAAAACTGATCTTTGGTTGGATTTGTGGAAGCTAGGATAATCCTTTTACTTGTAGGCTATCCAGTAACACTTGAGTTTGTTGGGGTTTTTTTTAAATATAAAGCATTAGTTCAAGTAATCATTAAAAGAGCATTTATTGCCAAATGCCACTCAGTAAGAAGTTCCAAAAATAAGGATGGTGTGACAGCTTGGTGGTGAACCTCAGTGTCTGCTTTAGGACTGTTGTCTTGGGTCCTAAGCTGGTAGGAATCACTGGCTCTGAGTGCTAGGCACCATGGTCCACCTGTGCCTGGGTTCAGACCTTGCCATGGGGATGCGTTGCTGTTCCACCAAAACAAAGCTACTGAGCTGGGTGGAATTCCCTCAGAGCAGCTGTCAGTTGAATCATGAAGGGGTGAGTTTAAAAAATTCTTACCCTTTTGCAATTTTGTTTCAAGCTTTCTTGGAAGGGTTGAGATTGCAATCATCTGCAAAACCAACAGCTGGAAAACTTAACTAAAATATATTTTACCACCACCCTCCCTCCTTGCAAATGAGATTTGTTGAGAAATGCTAACAGTCTCTAGTTTAGGACTGTATATTTTGGGTTGAATATTGACTTTTAAAGTCTGCCCTTAACTTTTACGTGAATAGTACCATGCCTTCTGCAGAAATACAGGTCAATAGGAGATCACTACCAGACATGATGGCCTCTTTGCTGGTTGTAGCTGATTCCCCACTTGGTTAATTTGTCCTAAACATTTATAGGAAGTGGATAAAAAATGCAAAACCTTTTAATCCAGCACAAACATGTTTAGAACCTCTGGCCATACAGAGAATCCAGCGTAAGCTTTTGCCACAGCAAAGACATATGCCTGTCACCCATCTTTATGAAGGGTTTGGAAACCCTGTAAATGCCGTAAAATGTTATTTATAAAAATGCATGACATCAAGTTCCATCTGTGGGCCAGCTCTCCCTGCCAGGATGCTTTGATCTAGACTACTGCCTTTTCCTTGAGGAGAGAGCCTGTGGCTGCTCAGGCAGCGCTTACTTCCCCGGCAGTAGAAGGTGTTTCCCTGGCTTTTGAGGGACCTGCAGCTCCAAGTCCAGTGCTGCCATCTCCCTGTGGGTGAAGACCCTGAAGCTGAGGGCCTGTTTCTGAATGCACATGGTATGGTCCTTACTTTTTCTTGATGTTAAGATTCATTAATACCATCATCGCTAGCATTGTCACTGCTGCCTCAGCGTGAACTAGGGAGGAGCTGGTAGAGTGGAGAGGATGTTTCAGAGCCGGGATCCATCCCGTGTAGCCTACTAAGGTAGGACCATGCCAAATAACAAGCAGTATGGTGTCGTTCCTTCAAGGGCGGAGTGATTGGAACCTTCCTGCGTACCATCTTCCTGTTCATCACAGTTGTAGAAAGAATACTAAACTAATTGTCTTGTTAGTCCGCTATGATATATTCATCTGACACATCTGACTTCTTAGCTTGTCAGAAACTCACTGGAACCAGAGTTGGTGGTTTGTGATCCTTTAATCATCCAGTATCCTGATGTTATGTGTTTCTGTGGTGCCAAGAAAATCTTTCTGAAAGTATTTAACACACGGAGTTCCTGAACAAGTCGTGATAATCTCTATCTGTTATTTATTTAATGGGTTATGTGTTCTAGTGTCCTGTTCATGAACTATCTATTTTTTTTGTTGTACTATTATATGAATTTTTACTGTAACACAGAGCTGGAGGAAAAGGCTAGTTAGTAGACAAAATGAAACAAAATTAAGTTTCACTTTTTCTACTTTGTCGCAGTGGCAAATACCTAGAACTGAAGGTAAGGCTGCTCTGCCACCTTATGTAGAGAAAATGAACTGCTGCTATCTGTCCTGTCAGTGGGCTTGTAGATTTTTTTTTTTCCATCTCAATAAGCAAAGTAGTAGAGTGAAGCCTTTTTAAAACAAATTTATTTATGTACTATCAAGTTTTGTCACTTTGATTATCCTGAAGTTCTTGCAAGAAGGTTGGTCACATCTACCAACAGTGAAGTATATGTTTGAATATAAACCAGTATGATCCCATTGGACTGGTGAGTCCTGGAAACTCTTTGATAAAACAGAATGTACTACAATAATAATAATAATAATAAAATTAAACTGGTGAGCAGTGAAATGTTTAAAAAAGCTCATCTAATAGAATAATCAGTTAAGTAGCTCTGAGAGATATTATATCCTATATTGATCCCAAATTCAATTTCTCATTCTAGCAGTAGCTGTGTAATTTCTTCCTGCCTTTAGGATGTGTCTGTTTTATTTTTCTCTTGTATGTCTATCTGTCAGGTAGAGGACCCTTGGCAACAATTTTTCTCAAATCCTTATTCTGACTATAATGTTTTGATTCTTGTTTTCCCTTTATCTTTTTATTTAAACTATTAGAGATTTAGAAACTATCAAGAAATTTTTTACTTTTTCTCAGCATTAATTTAAAAACCAAACAACACAAACCAATGTAAATTCTTCTGGAGGGTCTGACCTTTCTAGAAAATGAATTTTATCTGTATTTAGCATTTTCTAAGAATTTGACTCCTGCTTATTTTTCTTTCCTTCTTCTAGACTAAGGTGATAATCTCATTGGAATTCTCTGTAATTTTGGCCCCGCACCTTGCAAATAATTCTGTAGTAAAAAAGACCACCTGTATTACAGCCCAGTCTTTAAAGTGTAATGAAGAGTTTAAATAAAAAAGATTGTTTTGTTTTGGTTTGTTTTTTGTTGGTTCATTTTGTTCGGTTGGTTTGGGGTTTTTTTGTATTGGTGGTTTTGAAGTTTTTTTTAGATAAATGCTCAAAAACCAGAAAGAATAAAGGACTCAGGGCTGAGTTGTGTTGAAATTCCTCAGGGAGAGGTTGCCTGAGAAACTAATCTCACTTGAGATAAAAAGCTCAATAGAAGAGGAAAGAACCAACAAGAGAGAAAAAGCATAACAGGAGAGGAAAAGGTTCCAAAGATATCTGTGTCTCAAGTGGATTGAATTGTTGGTGCTGTTTATCTGATGGATCCTTGGAGACTGAAGAGAATTTGATGGAGAAAGGGTTTCTATCATCAAGAACAACTTTCAGGGGGTGTACAGGTACCTCAGAAGCAGGTGGGGATAAACTGTACCCACAGCAAGGGGCTCGCACATCGTTTGCGTAGGGTGTGTTACAGAATGTTAGAATATGATTTTTCCTCCTTCTTCATGCATCACCTTAACTTTGAAGGATTAAGCGTGGCTTCTTTAAAATGGTGCAATGTCCCCATTTCTCTCAAGTCTAGAAGCTGTTTCTAGTCTCATTTAGTAGGAAATCATTAAACATAAAATATATCTGTATCTTGGAGAAGTGATGTTTTATTTTTTAACATTTGGATTTACCGTTCTTTCCTTTCAATCGTGAATTAGTTGAAAAAATTTTGCAAGGTAGATCCATTTTCTTTTACTGGATCAGTCCTATTTTAATGACTATGTATTCCCTCCCACCCCTGAGTCTTATCTCTCAACACTGGTTTTGAGGAACTATTTGTTTTGAGTTCTCCCTATAAGATAATAGCTTTGGAGACAAAAACCTTTTCCTTTGCAAGTCCTGACTTGCTTTTTCTGCTTTGTGACAGCATGTGTAACTGCTTAAGGATTTTTAGAAATGTTATACCAATACAGTAAAAGATTTAATTGGCATATAATGCACAGGGCAAGGGCTCTCATCTGTACTCTGGCATTTTCAGATAGTTGTGGAGATAGTTTTCTTGATACAAAGTTAACATAATTGTCCTTGTGAGGTTTTTGTCTGCTCTGTCAGCTTCAGGAAGTAGGATGTATGGAGTAAGAAGATTGCTTGAAATTGCTGTATATTATCACATTGACTTTGTGAAATGTTTCATGTTGGATTACAAACGACTGCTGAATTTGTCTATTTATATTAAGGATTGCTGCAGTTTAAACTGGATGAAAGGAGTTAAAGTTATCTGTTGATGATCTCAGGATAGATTGGAAAATAAGCAGGTGTCCACATCACCCATCAACCACTGGTGATGGCAGTGGCAATGTCAAAGGCAACATCTCACTCCAAAAACACAGTGATATCTGTCTCTAGGATTTTTGTCAGAGATAACAGGAGTATTTCAGCTTTATTGAAGATCCTGATCAGTGACATGTCATTGCCAAGGGCTGAGGTGTGGTTTCTGCCTCTCTGGATGTGGTTACTCATCCTTATTTCATACTTTTTCTTTATTTCACAGAGAGCTCTTCTAGAGAAGAAACAGAGAAAGAAACGTCTTGATCCCTTGATGGTACAGCCAAATCCTGAGGCAAAGCTGCGTAGGTCAAAGCCCAAAGGGTGTGAGGAGCAGACTCCTTTAGTAGAAACTCCTACCCCTTTACACAGTGATGTTATGTTACATGGTAAGTAATCAACATGATTGCAACAGTTTTCCCCAAAATGCTTGTGTGTGCATTTTATGTCACAGATGGCACCTACATTGCTGTGACAGTGGTCACGTGGTAAACAAGATTGATTACTTACCTTTCTGTGTACGAAAGTAGAGTTGCAGTACAGTGTGGTTGGGCAATACTGAACTGTAAAAACAAACAAAAATCCTTCTCGTGAATTTTGTGACACCTGAGAATCTTCATGTGCCGTTGAGTAATGTCTCCCTTGCGTTAGGCTAAGAACTGTAGACATGGGTTAGGAACTTCTATAAAGGCAGAGAGGTACAAATTCAAAGTAAGAGAGTCTTGTGAAGCTGTAGAATAAAAAAAAGGAAATAATCCAGTAGGGACTGCCTGTACTTTTCTTCATGGTATTATAGTATGGCATCTTGATGGTATCATATGTCCATCTTGCTCCTGGGGAGATTCTGATGGGGCAGAAGAGGAAAACTTTTCACAATGGGAACAGTCAGCCATTGGAATAATATCCCCAGGGAAGTGGTGGATTCCCCAATATTGGAAGATTCCACTGAACAGAGTGCTGGGACATCTTGTCTAGACTGTGCTTTTGCCAAGAAAGGTTGGACCACATGATCCTTGGGGTCCTTTTCAACCCGGTATTCCATGGTATTCTATCTCAATATTGTGTATGAATGAATGATAAAGTAGACAAGAGCAAAACAAAAGTCTTATGAATACTGAATTAGGTTCTTGTTGGTTTTTACTTCATCTGTTGTTTTCTGTGGGCATCAGGGAGACAACTGAAATGTGACAACCAAGCTATAGTGGTCCAGAAAGTCACAAGCACAAAGTGATATCAGAGCCACAGGGAATAACTCGGAGGTCTCAAATCATTACAGAAAAATAGTGACCAGTCTGTTAGGAGTGAAGAGAAATACCATAGTGAGACCCTTAAGACTTCCATGTCACAGAGAGGTAAAAGGAGCAGCAGTGGAACCTCTCGTTAGGATCCCATCAAGAAAGTAACAAGAAACATCCTAAGGCTTTGAGATGTATGCTATTGCAGGATGTTACACCACCACCATTATATTAATAGGGAATTAATGAGTACAGTAGAATTTTAAAAAACCAAACAAACCAGCGTTACCTGGTTTGAAGATCACATTTGGAACTATGTTATCACCTCTCTTCTGAATGTCTTGTTCTCCAGATGTCTTTCAGGATCATAGAATGGGGAGGTGAGGAGTGATGTGGATGGTAGCGTTTGTGTTTAAAATCAGGTGGGAGAAAGCTTCTGTTAAAAGACACTTTTCAGTCCAAAGGAGAGTGAGAGAAAAGATTTATATAACTTCTAAGTTAGGAAACTTCAGTAGTACTGAAACTGCAAGAAAGAAAAATGAAAACTTAACTGCTCCCTCACTAGCTTCCATAGTTCTGAAGCTTCCTCAATACAAACAACTCCTGTGAAGAAGTTGTAACAGCAGCAAACATGTCAGAAATCTGATGACTGGATAAAGCAGTAAGATTTTAAGAAGGAAAACAGTCGGAAAGCAAGAAATCCAAAGCTGGAACTACACTTACATATTGTGTGCTGCACAAGCATGTATCAAATATTATGCCAGACATCAAGATGTCTCCACCAGCTACGAAGTGTAGTGCACAGCTGTGTTCCGTGTTTAAACATGGACATTTCATTTCTACCAAAAAGATAGAGAGCATCCATTTACAGGTTTTGCTGCCCGTGGCTGTAGATTATTTTTATCAAATGGATTTGTGGTGTTCACTGTAGAGTACTCACTTTTTGGCACAGGAGCAAAGAAGGAACCTGAAGGAAATGAAAATAGAGTAGTTGCTCATAAATAAATTGAAGGAGATCAAGGTGCATAACAATTACAACTTGTTTTCATTGCTTAAGCCCTTGTGGAAAAGTAGATACAATCACTATATTTATAAATGGAGAAACTGATGCCTGCTATGTTTGAAGTGATAGGCGGTCTGTACCAGAGTCAGGCCTGACACCCCCCAAGTCTTCTGACAGAAGTTGAACAAGTATATGTTGGTACTTTAAAAGGATGCTTGAGCAAGGGAAGATGAAAAGAAGAACCATCCTGGGATGTGTCTTTAGCCGTGAAAAAAACCCCCAACTTTAGCATTCTGTTTCATTTTGGTTTGCAGGCATTGATGGACCAGCTGCTTTCCTGAAATCAGAGGTGCAAGATTTAGGGACCAAGCTCCAAACTCTTTCTGCTGGATCTTCCAAAACGGAAGACAAAGCAGACCAGGAAAATGATGGAGAGGCTCTACCAGACACAGCAGGCAAGCCAGATCTGCAAGAAATCTTACAGAAACGAGGTAAGAGTTGATAATGGGCAAGGGTCTTTTTCAGGGCTCTTCTACTTCTTACCTTTTTTTTTTCAGTAGCATTAGAAAACCTAAAATATATGGGGAATCATGAAAAAAGTGTCTGTAGGATATTACTTTTAAATGCAGAGCTCGTAGATTCTACAGCATGTAGAAATGCAGAACTGCAGTTCCTTCTGATATTAATTGGAACATACTAGTTATGCTTTAAAGGTTTATCAACGTGCTGTATAATTTCTGGCCTTTCCAAAGAAGTTGGTGATCAAATACTATACTTCACATCTTGCTAAAGTTTGGGGTATTTTTATTCCAGATATATCCGGATATAATGCTTGAATATTTTCATAGAAGCAGAAGCCTTTATACCCAGTAAATGCTATAATTTAACTGTTTAGGAGACTAGCAGGAAAGGTTGTTCTTCCTGAGTCAGAGGCTGATGCAATCAACAGTTGGAGAGTTTTATATTCAATAGTTATATCCCATTGAGTCGTTTCCCAACGGAGTGTCCACCTCTGTCTGCCAAGTATCTTACGTTGCTGCCAGTACCGCAGGAAGCCTTTTTTGTTGTATGCAGCTTAAGCACTTTGCAGCAAAATAATGGCCAGTGTTTAATATGGTACATGGCTTGCTTTCATTTTGCAGAGCCTGTCTCTCATAATATTTCCAGCACACTTTATGTATTAAGGTACAATCCTACGTGGAAATGCTTCCATTCAGTTGTAGATGCAACAGCTGCTTACTTATGGATAGCAACCTTACACAAGAGCTGGGAAAGGAAGCAGGAGAGAATATCCTGAAACTTCAGGGGAAATTAGTGGAGGTAGAATATAAACAGTGAATTTTGAAATTGTCTGGAGTACTGGGGTTAACGCCTTTCCTCTTTCCAAATGTGCTTTGGGAAGTGTACTGACAGGTTGTTAAGGCTCCGTTTTTCTGTTTCATCTGAGACAAAGAACTTCCAGCCATGCCCTTTCTATGCAGTGCCATGTTGGAGCACTGTTATAATATTGGCTCTCAGAAAATAATGCAGCTTAGCAGACTGAATGTGTTCATTTTCTATAGTGCTTTATATACTCTTCCATTTTACAGCCAAATTAAAGAATGAAATCCCAGAACAAAATGGTGCAGTTCCAAGTGGAAGGAAACACCAAACAGTGATGTGTATGGAAGCTCTTTATAAATGTCTTAATCCAGAGTTACTGTAATTATATACTCACAGTCTTCTCTACATAACTGTGTTTAGGTTAAGATTAAACAAATAAGTCCTGGAACTACTCAGGCTGCGCTTCTATTTTAAAAATCAAATCATTAATAGTATTCATGAGACTTGAGTTACTGCTACTGGTGTAAGAATAGGAGGGGCTCTTACTGAAAAATTATCGTACTCCATTTCAGTATTGTCATAAGACTAAGGAGAGATGCTAAGGATGTAAACTGTACAGAGTCCAACTTACAGGATAGATGTCAGCATATTGATCTTGGATTTCCTTTTTTTTTTCTTTTTTGTTCTTAAGACAAAAAGGCTTTTTTTGCCTGAAAATAGGCAAAATTAATTCAATGACAGCATATACTGAGCAATATGTTACATCGTGTAATATCACGTAAAACGTGTATTAGTAAAAGCCCGACAGCTGCTTAATCATCTGCAGAGTGACAGCTGCGAAATGTCACTAGAGGTTTGAATTACAAGGCTCAGGAAGCAATAGAGCACATGAAGAAAATCAGCAGTTGAAACAACAGAAATTAGTTAAAGGAGCGAGAGCAGAATAGCCATGCAAGAGTCACATATGAATTAGTGATGCCATGAACTCATGACACCTTCTTTCAGAGGTTACCTGCCTGATCCTCTATTCTGACAGGAATTTCAGACAGCTTGAATTTTGATGAGGAAGACACAGAAGAGGAAGAAGCCAGTAAGAGACCAGAATCTCATTCACCATGTCCCGACTCTGAGAGGCCTAGTTCTGCAGCCGGTGAAAAATCTTTTGCAGTAAGTGTCTTGAAATCCATTTCTGATAAGGGCTGGGCACATGCTTGATTTTAGTACTAACCCCTTGAGCACTGGTTTGAAATGTAGTAGTTACAACTACAGTAGCTAGCGTATTAATCCCTGAAGGCAGAGGAAGGTCATGATTGTCAGGTTATCTGACTGAAGGGCCATTGAGTTAAACACAAAGAACAAAGGAACAATGTTGGGTGGAGGGAACCCAAGTAGCCTAATCAGTGAAGATGGGAACACAATGAATCAGCTACTCCTGTGACCCTCAGAGGAGAGAGATTAAGCCATTGTCTCTGGTGTAAAATCCACCAGGATGACTCAGAGAAACTCTAATGCTTTGTAAACTGAAGAGGGATCACTGCCTGAAGGTTTATAGCATTTAATGTGGGATGCAAGGGGGATCAGAATTAGGGGATGGAACACTGAATTCTGGGAATGGACAAAATTTTTTTGTTTTGTTGTTTAGGGGAGGAAAAGAGGGAAAAGAAAGGGGTCAGGGTGGATGAGGGAGTAATAAGCATGGGGAAAATAGGGAGTAAAGAGAGTAAAAGGCACCAGATGTGTGTAAACAGCTGTAAAACAGTATGCTTGTCCAGCCAAGCCTTGTGCCTGATTGCTGCAGCGTGTCCTACTATCTCCTAAAACTCCGTTTCTAACTATTTCCTGTGTGAATGTGTTTGTGTGTGTGTATGTTTGTGTGTGTGTGAGAGATACGTACACACACTGACAAATAAATAATGGACTAGCTAGTGAGTTGGAAGAGACCAGCATCAGGAATGTGACCAGTCTGAGCTAGTGACCAGATAAAGGTCAAAGGGTTTGGGCGTGGATGCTGGGCAGCCTTCAATGTCCTTGCTACTGTTGGGAAGACCTGTAGGAGTATCCTTGTGAGGCTACTGTGGGTATCCTGTGCTCCACTGGTGGGTGAGTAGTACAGGAGGTGTGGGTGTTAGTTACCTGGGATAGTGGGCTACGGGTGCCAACTGCTGGACACGTGGAGTGGGAGGTGCTGGAGGGGCAGAAGGGTGAGAGCCACTAGTGGATTTCAAGTCATCTTGTGTGTCTCTGGGAATACTTGGGAATGGGAATAAACCAGCAACCTCATCTCTGAGGCCCAGTAAGGGAGGAATCTCCTGGGTTCTGCAATCCACAGAATTCAGCTACCTCTAAGAAAAAATGACTTTAATGACCTGTACCAGATGTCCATTACAGTTCCTTTGATGACCATAACTTGCATCCTGACTGTACGCATTGTTCTAAAGTTCTTCCATTTAGTTGAGATGATTCCATCATCAGTTTACTCCGTTTCTGCCAACATAATCTCAGTGCTGATTTCAGTCACAAAAATCCCATCATCCATCAGTTCAACTCATCACACTGCCTTATTTCCCACAGAGTGTTTCAAGTTCTAAAAGCAGAGAAGCTCTTTCCTTAGAATATTTACCATGTCTCATCCTATTTTCCACTTCCTAGCGATTCACTCATCTCTGGTAAATGTGTACTTTTCTCCTCTCTCCCTGGAGGGCTAGTCTTTCCTCAGAGTAAAGGTCTTCAGCCACTTTCTTCAGGTGGTCTCTCATTTAACTTCCCTTTCCCAAATGTTTTCTTGAGACATGAGATTTTCTGTTTCAACAGACCTTTCTTTTCTTGGGGAATACCAGAGCTTCTGATCTGATATTAATTTCCTAATATGATGGTTCTTCCCACAGGAAACAGGTGCTTCCTGTAATCCATCCCCTCAGGCAGAGGCACAGCTGGGAGAAGTAGAGAACTTGGAGGATTTTGCGCTACGCCCTGCACCCCGTGGTATTACAGTCAAGTGTCGTATCACTAGAGACAAGAAGGGAATGGACCGGGGACTCTTCCCTACTTATTACATGCATCTGGAAAGGGATGACAACAGAAAGGTATTGGAAGCAGCACACAGTATCTTGGCCATTCTACTCCTACCAAAGACTATTTTTGGTGTAAGGGGGGGCTTTTGGTAAGAAACCAGAAGCTGAGGAGAGCCAGCATGCAGATGAGGACAGCTTATGTTTGGCCAAGGCACTAAGGAGGGAATTGGCAGGTTTAAAAGCCATAATACAATGAAAGATGTAATTTAAAATATATAAAAATGTCAAGGATAGAGAAAAGCAAGGAGACTGAGCTGCTCCAGAGAAAGGAGGGAAGAGTAGAAAGGACATTAAATCTAGTGAGATGATTGGATTAGCAGGATTTCAGGGTGTGCACTTGTGGAAAAGATCAACATTGTGGAGACAATTCCAACAGCACAGAAGAAAAAGGGGAGTGGATGTGGGAAATGGAGAGAGAACACTTTGGATAGCAATGCTTCTGCATTCTTACAAAGCTCCAGTCTTGATCAAAGTTTTGTATTTCCAGACGTTCCTTCTTGCAGGGAGAAAACGAAAAAAGAGCAAAACATCCAATTACCTCATATCAGTGGACCCAACTGATTTATCCCGGGAAGGGGAAAGTTTCATTGGAAAACTCAGGTGAGAACCACAGTTGAAAACTACAGACAGGAGAGGTTGGATTTTCATTCTAGTTGAGTTGGGGTTGTGAATAGCAATCTGGTGTCAATTCAGAGAGAACAGACTTTCATTGTCCTACTGAATGTGATCTGTATTCACCTGGTTTCTTCAGCGTTCCCGTTCACCACGGCAATTCAGAGCAGGATTTTGAGCTTGATGCTTTCCAGGGTAGGTTACAGGTTGGACCCCCTGGGAGAAGAACTCGAGCCAA